TAAAGTAACTTAAGAACAACTGTCATTTAGAAGAATAGCTCTTCTGACAGATTACTCCCTGGAGCTTCAGAGCAGGGCCAGAAGTTTCAAGAAAGGCACAGGTCCTGACTTGCTCCACCAGAAGCAGTTCTTGATCCCTGTATAGCATGAGTCAGACTTCGTGACTGCACGCAAAAGCCATCACAGACTGTGTGACAGTGGGCACTGGACCAGCTTGCAGAAGGTGGTGAGCAGGGGTTGAGAGGGATGGGTGACTGTCAGGCTGTACAGGAAAAGGCACTTCACTGGGTGGTTGGTAAGGGCATGATGCCCAGGGAAGGTATAACCAGGCAGAACTAATGAAATTCTAAATAGCACCCAGTTTCCTTCATTCCCCCTCATTCTTTCCAGATTCTGAGCTGCCCTCATACCATGTCCATCACAACATGTGGCATCTGGAGTTATGCTGATGCTCCCTCCTTCCTGAGTGTAGGGAATGACGAAAGGATAGTAGAAGAAAAGTTTTCTATATTAGACACTTTTGGAAGCTCAAAATATTGGGCCTGAAATGAATGATTTTTGGAAAGACACCCAGGGCAGAATTAAGAACTTAAGCACAGTGCTGTTTACTTACACAGGTAAGTACTATCGGCATCTTACTAAAATCTGTTTCAGGATTTGCAACCAAGTAAGAACAAAAAGTTAGAAAAAATAGTTCTTGCATAAAGCATCCCATCTTTATTTTGAAGTTTTCTGGGGAAGCTCTAACTCAAGGTGTAAAGACAACACAAATTTGATTAACAATCCCATCTGAGTAGGTTTTTTAAACAACATTAGTTTAAATGAAGGTAGAAGGTTTTACCTTGTATACCTGAATTTGTTTAACCAATATCCTCTTGTTTTATTTTGTGTTTTTTTGTTGTTGTTCTTACTTAGAAGGGGACATAAATTGTTAATTCATCGACTTCTGAGTTTCACAGCAGTGAAAATGCAAGGTTAAGCCTGTGTCACCATATCGCAGATGCATTTGTTCAGGTAATACCTCTGTGTGGTCCTTCTTGTTCCCTTTCAAGAATGTCAAAAGGATATTTTTCTATAGGGAAACCTTTTTTCCAGCTGATGTTATGAAATTTTTAGGTAAATAAAAATAGTTGTAAGGCAGACCAGGTTTCTCATGATGCTATTTCTCCTTCCTCTTTCCCAGCTGAACCTTTTCATTTCTTCACATTCTTCAAGGAGCTGCAGAAAATGAACATAGTGCAGGTAATCTCTATTTTTAATAATCTGTTTTATAGTGGATTTTATAAGTCTATTAACATGAAAAAGTAGAAATAGAAATGGATCAGATGCATTCAGAGATGGAAATACAGATGAGTAGCAGAGCAAAGATGGCATGTGGATATGAAATTGGAGCTCCGAATTTATTTCTGAGTTTTGGGAGCCATATCAGAGTGTCAGACAAACTGTACTGCTTTAAAGGTTGGGGTTGGTGAGAAGATTAAGCAAACTGATACCTCATAGAATGTTAAAACTTTTTTTTTAAGATTTTATTTATTTGAGAGAAAGACTGCATGCGCATGAGCAGGGGGGAGGGGCAGAGGGAGAGAGAGAGAAGCAGACTCCCTGATGAGCAGGGAGCCCGATGCGGGACTCGATCCCAGGACCCTGGGATCATGACCTGAGCTGAAGGCAAGAAGAGACTTAACCGACTGAGCCAGCCACTCAGGTGCCCAGAATGTTAAAATATTTGAAGATAAAAAAGATCTTTATTTTTCGACTAGGTGATTTAGTTAACAACTTTTCAGTAATTACTCTAAAATAATATAGAACATTATCTCTACTTGTTCTTCAATAAAAGTAGAAGATGTAATGCTAAATGTGAACTTGGTCCCTTCCGTTTTCCAGAAACTCAAACACAGGGGTTGAATTAGACATTCTTTTCTGTTGAATCAGCTGAATTAAAATTACTTTCCATAAATATTTTGAGTACCCAAGATAGTCAGGTTGCTCAGCAGTTTAAAATTGTGTTCTCTTTGAAACGTTTCAACACTTTCTATCCACACTTGAAACCTCTGCATGATGCTTTGGTTTCTCTCCCCACTCGCCTGTCATATCTGGTGACCAGAGACTTGATTTATAATCAAATCCATTGGATCTTGTCTAATTCTTTCCTTACTTGAATTTTCTATAGCATTTGCCTCTACTGCCTCTGTCCTTCTGGAAAGTTTCTTTGTTACTGTCCATGACACCCTCCACTGGCCCCATCTATACAGTGCTGATAATCTTTTTGGAGTCATCTTCTTTCCCTGTCCTTTCACGTGGCTCATTCCCAGTTTCTGACCATGGCCCTTTTAATCTGCTCTATTAATCTTACAATGGTTTCATTCTCTCTCTCTCTCTCTCTCTCTCTCTCTCTCTCTTAGCTTTATTGAGATTCAGTTCACATACCATGCCATTCACCCATTTAAGTCTGGAATTCAGTGATGTTTTAGTATACTCACAGATTGGTACAAATATCACCACAGTCAATTTTAGAACAGTTTCATCATCTTAAAACGCAACTCTTCATTTTATCCCCTTCGTCTGCTCATTTCCCCCAAACCCCAAGCAACCACTAATCCATTTTCTGTCTGTATAGATTTGCTGAACCACTCCCTGTATTATTCCTTGTAGGGCAGTTCTGCCTGTGACAAATTTTGTTTTTGTTTATCTGGGAAGGTTTTAATTTTTCTATTTTTGCTGGATATATAATTCTTGGTTGACAACTTTTTTCTTTCAGCCCTTACTTGTCATATATCATTTCACTGCCTTCTGTCCTCCAGGGTTTCTGATTAGTAATCTGCTTTTAATACTATTGTACATGATGAGTCACTTCTTTCTTGCTGCTTTCAATATTGTCTCTTTGTCTTTATTGCTTGATACTATCCCATATTTCATTTTTTGTCATTATTTTTCTTTCTGCTTTCTCACAGTATGTAATTTCAGTGTCCAGTCTGTTCATTCTTTCATCTCCTCAAATCTGCTATACAATCCCTCTGGTGAAATTTTGTTTTAGTTATTATAGTTTTCAACTCTTGAGTTTCTATATAATTTCAATTTGTTAAAATTTCTATTTCTTTATTGATATTCTTGATTTAGTAAAATATCTTTCTTTTATTTTCCTTTAGTCCTGGACATTGTTTTTTTCTAGGTATTTGACCATATTTAATATGGCTGATTTAAGGTTATTGTCTAGTAAGTTCAATGTTTGCTTCTTTAGGAGGAGTTTCTATTGATTATACCTTTTCTGCCTATGAGCCTTACTTTCTTGTTTCTTTCCTTGTTTACTAAACTTTTTTCTTGAAAATAGGACATTTTAAGTAGAAGAATGTGCCAATTCTAGAAATCGGAATTTTCTCCTTTCCATTGGGGTCATTGTTGAAATTTATTTGTTCAGTGACTTTTTAAAAAATTCTGTAGAGCCTGTGTTTCTTTCATCTGAGGCAGTTGAAGTATCTGCAGAAATTTCTTTAAATGCCTAGACCCAGTAAGTCTCCCAGTCTTTGCTAAGGGGCTCTGGGCATTTCAGGGAATTCTTCAAACAGACAGATGGTTTATAACTCTGCATTAGCTTAGACTTTTTTCTAATGCCAAACCTCAAGGTCACCTAGAGGTGACAGCTCAGGGCTTTCTCACATCTTTCCTGAGTATGCTCACAGCCTTAGGCATACGCACAGCCCTTTGCAAGTTTGCGGCCTCCTTGATTCTCAGGAATATATCAGAGGTTTTCAGAAACATTTACGGACATCTCATTGTCCAACTTTTCCTTTCAGACTTCTTGGTTAAGCCATTGTTTGTCTCACCTGTTATCTACCACCTCAGGTAGCCATTAAGTTAAACAAATGCCAAAAAAAAAAGTTAAAGAAATGCCTTTAATTGTTGATAAATGATGAGTGAGGTTAAGGCTTTTCACACTGAGCTGTGAGTTAGCTCAAATAAAGGCATCCTTATGAGTGGGGTCTTTCAGGAAACTACCAAACTGGCCAAATGAGTTTTCTATGAATGAGGTTTCAGTGGATCTCCAGCCGAGTTCTGCTCTTGTGGTTGCCGCTGGTTGCAAACCATTGGTTGTGAAACTATTGCAGAGTTGGGAAGGAAAGGATATAAGTTATAAAAGGTCACAGTATCACCATTCTACTATGATTAAGCTGTTTTGTTTTTTTAATGTTTTGAAGATAGCCTTTGTTAATTTTTATAATTTTTGCTAGTTTTTTAAAAAAATGTATTAATTGAGAAAGCAAGAGACTGTGAGTGGGGGGAGAGGCAGAGGGGGAGAGAGAGAGAGAGAGAGAGAGAATTTCATGCAGACTCTCTGTTGAGCATGGAGCCTGACATGGGACTTGATCCCACAACCCCGAGATCATGACCTGAGCCAAAATCAAGAGTTGGATGCTTAACCAACTGAGCTACCCAGGCGCCTCAGTTTTTGCCAGTTTTTCCTAGTTTTTATGAAGGAGAGAATTTTTTGGATCCTTACTTAACCATTTTTATTTATGTCACTTGTTAGCTTATTTTTTTTAATCCACAGGATCTAATTAAGTCAGATATTAAAGAGATTCACAAAAATGAAAGCAGTGCCACTTTTCTCACTAATGTTTTCGCTTTGGAGAATATAATTACCTTTTTTTTTTCTTTTTTAGATTAAATTTTGAGAGGTATTCCTGTTCTTTTATTTATTTGTTTCAGTTACCAGCTCCTACTACTGAGTTTCACATGCAGGAGGTACTCACTTAGGAACGTTGAAGATATAAGTGAACAAATAATTGGATACATAACACTGAGGGGGGAAAAAAGAAACTTGTCTCTGTCCCATTATCTCTTAGTTTTCTTCCCTTTCTTTTCTACTTTTAATTGTGATAAGAACACTTAACATGAGATCTACCCTTAGCACATTTTTATGTGTATGATACTCTATTGTTAACTATAGGGATGGTGTTGTACAGCAGATCTCTGGAACTTGATGATTTTGCATAACTGAAATTTTATGTCTGTTGAACAGCAACTCCCCAGTGCCTCCTCCTCCCAGCCCATTTGAAGTGTTTTGTTGTGGAAATTTTCCCTTTTCTCATTTTCCAAGATTCTACCTTTTCCAGACTCTTTTTTTTATTATTAATTTTATTTTATTATGTTAGTCACCATACAGTACATCATTAGTTTCTGATGTAGTGTTCCATGATTCATTGTTTGCGTATAACACCATCGCATGCGTGCTGCATGCGATATGTGCCCTCCTTAATACCATCACCAGGATAACCCATCCCCCCACCCCCTCCCCTCTAGAACCCTCAGTTTGTTTCTCAGAGTCCATAGTCTCTCATGGTTCGTCTCCCCCTCCTATTTCCCCCCCTTCATTTTTCCCTTCCTGCTATCTTCTTTTTTTTTTTTAACATATAATGTATTTTTTGTTTCAGGGGTACAGATCTATAATTCATCGGTCTTACACAATTCACAGCACTCGCCGTAGCACATATCCTCCCCAATGTCCATCACCAGCCACCCCATCCCTCCCACCCCCCACCACTCCAGCAACCCTCAGTTTGTTTCCTGAGATTAAGAGTCTCTTATGGTTCGTCTCTCTCTCCGGTTTCATCTTGTTTCATTTTTTCCTCCCTTCTCCTACGAGCCTCTGTCTTGTTTCTCAAATTCCTCATATCATGAGATAATACGATACTTTCTCTGATTGACTTACTTTGGTTAGCATAATACCCTCCAGTTCCATCCACGTCGTTGCAAATGGCAAGATTTCATTCCTTTTGATGGCTGTATAATATTCCACTGTGTATATACACCACATCTTCTTTATCCATTCATCTGTTGATGGACATCTTGGCTCTTTCCATAGTTTGGCTATCGTGGACATTGCTGCTATAAACATCGGGGTGCACATACCCCTTCGGATCACTACATTTGTATCTTTGGGGTAAATACCCAGTAGTGCAATTGTTGGGTCATAGGGTAGCTCTGTTTTCAACTTTTTGAGGAACCTCCGTACTGTTTTCCAGAGTAGCTGCACCAGGTTGCATTCCCACCAACGGTAGGGAGGGTTCCCCTTTCTCCGCATCCTCGCCAACATCCTTTCCTGACTCATTACTTTTTGGAAAGCTTTTTCTTTGGCTTTTTGGCCTATGCTTTTTCTGCCAGCCTCTTTACTATTCATGCTTCCCTAAATGCTATTTGGTATTTTTCTTTCCTTAGTCCCATATAGGATGTATAGCATATAGCTCACATTGCTGATTGCCTCTTAAAATTTTAGTTACCACCTAAATAGCTAATAACTCCTAAATGCTTGTCTTCATCCTCACACCTCTCTTCTATATTCTAAAATCATGTGTGTATTAGTTTAAGGGATAGTTCCACCTTTATGTTCACAGACCCTTCAGGAGCAACATGAACAGATCTGTCTCACTAAAACTTCTGACACTTTTTTTCCTTTTGTTTCCTAAATGTCAGTGTTTGGCACCAACATTCCAAAAGCTGCTCGTTTAGTTAGCCTGGGCGGTTGTGCAAGAAAGTAATGATCAGATTGGTTGCTGCTGCTACACCCTGAGATTATGTCCCTGTCCTTATATTCATTGCTGTTACTTCAGCATAAATAATCACTTATACTGGTCTCTATGATTCCAAATCCTTGGTAAGTTGTTCTTTGCTCTTCATGAGCTCTAGATTTATATATTTTTATATAGGTATTTATACATGAGTTTGATCTTGTAAAATATCTCCACAGCTTGCATGTATGTATCTTCTCTGTCTCCCTCTATTTACAATGACGATGTCTAAGGAGGGGATGAACATCTTAGAATTCTCTAGAATGCCCACAGTACCTTGGGATGAAGAGGAAGAGCTGTAGGAAACCTCTTCACATTGAATTTTTTTAACCTAAAAAAATCTATAATTCACAAATAGATATAAATGAATTATAGTAAGTTAAAAACCTTCTTATCTGAGCAACTCCACAGCTACAGACAAAATTAGGTCAGAAATAGGTGTCTTTGATAACCATGTCTTTTAGAGCTTAAAAGTAAACAGGAAAAGTGGTAATTCTCAAAGATATGTGTCACATAATTCTGAATCTTTGAACGAAATGTGTTGTTACAGGGATCCATGTCATTCGAAGATGTGATTGTCAAATTTACTCAGGATGAATGGCAGTACATGAGCCCTGCTCAAAGGACCCTGTACCGAGATGTGATGCTAGAGAACTACAGCCACCTCATTTCAGTGGGTAAGCAGACCTTATTATGTATCCTCGTCTAAATTAAATTTCCTTCTTTTTAAAAGTTGTCAAAACACGTGGACTCCTTGTAGAGATTAATATTGTACTGGCTTTTGAGTGAGAGGTCTAAGGTACCTGAAGCCTTTAGGAAGCAGACAAAATGTTTGTGTTGTTACTTTCCCATGGGATACTTCAAATGAGCACGTTTATTTTGCTGCTCTTGTTGCTGTATCTTGCTCCACCTTTGGAAGCCAAAAAGTGCATGGATCCGGTATATGTATATACCTTCAATTGTCATGTTTACAGGGTATTGCACCGCCAAACCTGAGATGATCTTCAAGTTGGAGCAAGGAGAAGAGCCCTGGTCCTTAGAGGAAGAATTCCTAAACCAGAGATACCCCGGTGGGTGAGCACTGACAGAAGGAAACACTTGGGATAGTTAAACTTTTAGGGGAATACCTTTGAAAGTTTTGTTTGGCTGGTTGGTTGGTTGTTTTACCCTTTTAAACAGCTCTGTTGAAATACTATTTACATATCGTACAATCCACCCATTTAAAGGGTACAATTTAGTGGCTTTTCACATATTCACAGATATGTGTAAATATCACCACAGTTCATTTTCACTACCTCAGAAAGAAACCTCATACCCTCTAGTTAAAATTACCCCCTATCCTCCTGTCCGCTACAGCCCAGCGATCACTAATCTACTTTCTGTCTTGATAGATGTGCCTATTGCAGACAATTCATGTAAATGCAGTCACACATTATATGGTCTTTTATGATTGGTTTCTTTCACATAGGATTATAAGATTCATGTGTATCAGTACTTCATCCTTTGTATGGAAAATAATGTCTCATTGTATGTATTTGCCACATTTGTTTGTCCATTCTTCATTCAGTTGACGTTTAGGATTCTACCTTTTGGCTATTGAATAATGCTGATAGAAACATTGATTTCCAAGTTTTTGCATGGATTTTTTTTTTTTTTGACATAACGCTTTTTTTCCTCTTACCGAGTTACACTTGATTCTAATTGCTGGGTTATGTGGTAACTGTTTCAAGAATTTCCAGACTATTTTCCACAGTGCCTGCCTATTTTTCATTCCTAATGACAGCATATGAGGGTTCTAATTTTTCCACATCTTTACCAACACTTGTTATTATCTGACTTTTTTATTCTAGCCATCCTAGTAGTTGTAAAGTGGTATATCATTGAAGTTTTGATGTGCATTTCTGTACTAGGCATTTGGCCTGCCATGATAAATACCATAGTCTGGGTGGCCTAAACAGCAGAAATTTATTTCTTATAGTTCTGGAAGCTGAAAGCCCAATATCAAGGTGCCAACATGATTAATTTCTGGTGAAGCTTCTTTCTGGCTTGCAGATGACTGCCTTCTGACTGTGCCCTCTTATGGCCTTTTCTCTGTGCTTTCATGGAGAGAGAACTGTGATGTCCCTTTCTATTCTTTCAAAGATACCAAGCCTATAAGAATTTGAGGCCCACCCTTATGAACTCATTTACCCTTAATTTCCCCAAAGGCCTTACCACCAAATATAGTTACACTGAGGGTCAGGGCTTCAACATACGAATTTGGGGGGAGATATAATTCAGTCCATAACAGTTTACTTGGTCACTAGTGATGTCAGGCATTTTTTCATATGCTTATTGGTATTTTTGTGTAAACTGTTAAATTCAGGAACTTCAAAAATTATAGTTTCAGTATAATTCTTAGAGCAAAAGAGTAAAATCACCCTAAGTGTGTTTACTGGAGTTTTTGTTGTGAAGCTATTCAACCAGACAGCAGAATTTTTAGATTAAGCATATTTCCCAGTCATTAGATGTAAATGATTTGATCGTATTGGTTGGCTAAAAAAGATACCCCAAAATAAGTATGTTTGAAAGATTGCAATAAAAAAATAGTAATGTTATTAAGTAAAAAACAAAATAATTTAGAGTTTCATGTTATTCAGGCTTGAATTTAGGCAATAGATGCAGTAACTTAGGGGTGCCTGGATGGCTCATTGAAATGTGTCTGCCTTCAACTCAGGTCATCCTCTCAGGGTCCTGGGATTGAACCCCGTGCCAGGATCTCTAATCAGTGGGAGCCTGTTTCTCCCTCTCCCTCTGCCCCACACCTCGCTCGTGCTCTCTCACTCTCTCAAATAAAATATAAATAAATAAATAAATAAATAAATAAATAAATAAATGCATTAATTTAAAAGAAGGCCCTCTTTTTAAGAGCACAGGTTAAAGTAAACCCTTAAGCATTTGAATGACTGCACCAAACAGTATCATACTAGCTATCATAAAACACAAAATAATGGGGTTCTAAGAAGTTAAAATTCAGCAGGATTAGGAGATAATGTACCTCATCTGATTAAAGTAAAGATACTATGAACATTAAATAAGTATGCCTATATGGGATGTAAATGATATTTATATTAGAGTGAACCAGGGGCGCCTGGGTGGCTCAGTCAGTTAAGCATCTGCCTCTGGCTTAGGTCATGATCTTAGGGTCCTGGGATGGAGCTCTGTGTTGGGCTCCCTGCTCAGTGGCGAGTGTCCTTCTCCTCCCTCTGCCCCTCCCCCGTGCTCCTTCTCTCCCTCTGTCTCTTGCAAATAAATAAAATCTTAAAAAAAAAGTGAACCATATATATGTATTTGTATCCTGAGATCAAAGAACAAGCCTTTTCATGTATTGCATGGAGCACTGGGTGTTATACACAAACAATGAGTCATGGAACTCTACATCAAAAACTAATGTACTGTATGGTGACATAACATAAAAAGAAAAAAGGAGAAGCCTTTCAGATTCCCATAGATTAATCATAAGATAGTGAAAAATAATGTTAATCTAGAAAGAAAACCAGTAAGTCCAACAAATTAGAATTGCATAAATATTCTCAACATATTTTGATAAATCAAGAAATTAATGAGTACACAAAAAATTCTTAAGATGGATATTTTAAAAATTATCTCTTTTAAACAACGTATAAAAAAGGATATCAAGTCCGAAATTGTGTGACATTTATAAAATAAATGTGCATATTATAAACCTTAGGGTATAGTAGATTAGTGAACAGAGGTAAATTGGTAGTCTAGTAATAAATTAAGCAAGAACAATAACAAAAATATACTAACACAAGCAGAATTTAAAAGTGGTAATAAACTGGAAGACTGAGAAATTATAGAATGTTTCTTAGAATAAAAAAACAGTAAAATGGATGAAATTTTAGCTAACCCTAACAAAGACAAAAGAAGCACTTATATAATACAAAATTATAAATATTTAATGCAGTGTCAAAGAAAATCTCATTTATACGAGTGTTGTGGTAGGATTTGCTCTATTACATATGTAAAGCTCTGAGAGGTAAGTAGTATGGAACTGGAAGTGGGATAGTTTAATAAATTAGTGAAACAGAAAAGAAAGCTCAAAGGGAAAAAAAACATATACTTCATATATAATTGGTCTTTTTTTTAGGATTTTATTTATTTATTTGACAGAGAGAGACACAGCGAGAGAAGGAACACAAGCAGGGGGAGTGGGAGAGGCAGAAGCAGGCTTCCCACGGAGCAGGGAGCCCGATGCGGGGCTCGATCCCAGGACCCTGGGATCATGACCTGAGCCGAAGGCAGATGCTTAACGACTGAGTCACCCAGGCGCCCCATAGATAATTGGTCTTGATAGATGGCACTAGCCCCACAAAACAGTGGAGAAAGAATCCCAAAGTAACCTTATTGATCTAAACGAAAAATGGGATTCGGGTGGCTTAAAGGCCTGATTTTTCTCAAAGCAAAACTAGAGCTATTCTATGGGATAATAAAGAGAATGTGTTTGTGACTCTGCTTGGGGAAGGAATAAGATATAAAAGTATTAACCAGGTGAAAGTTGGAATAAATGTATTCTATTTTACTCTCCACTAATTGCAACTAAATGTATACATGTGTGTGTATCTATACATATATCTATATATATGTATATCTGTGTGTATATCTATCAATATACATATGGTAAATATATATAGAATAAATGTAATATTCTGAAAGATTACACAGCAATGAAGGTGAGCTAGGGACTGTGGCACCTGATGAAATACAGGGTGGTTAGTGTTAGGAGAAGGCTGGTGGGGACCCTGACATCTCACCGCTCCTCACTGTTAATGTGGTAGCCTACTCCAACTCCCAAAGATGTCAGTGGAGGTTTAGGGGGGAACATGGACTTCTGTCCATACTTGGCAGTAGTGAAGCTGCATTCCACTTCTTTTGTTGGCATGATTTCAGAGGAGGTTGGCTAAAATTGAATGTAAAAATTCAGTTTATGAATTTTCTCATAAAGATCATGCATTTGTTGTTCTGTCTAGAAATATCCAAACTCAGAGTAAGACAGATTTATTCATATGCTTTCTTCTAGAAATTTTTAAATTTCACATTTTACATTTTGTAATTCATTTGGTGTTAGTTCTCATACACAGGATGGGATATGTGTCAAGTTTAAATTTTTGAAAAGGAGAGTCCAGTAATTCTAACACCATTAATTGAAAAGATTATCCTTTCTCTACTGAGTAGCATTTCCATTGTTCTTAGAAGATGGATAAATGTATATTTTGTATATGGTACATAAGTTTATGTGTGTGTGTGTATTTGTACTTACATTCTGTATATTTAACACTGTATGTGGTATCTGTATTTTTTATTCATCTACATATCCATCCTTATGTCAATACCACATTAACTTTATTATTCTAGGTTCTTAATTAGACCTTGAAATCAGTTAATGTGAGTCCACCAGCGTTCTTTATAAATTTTAAAATGAGCTTTTTAAAATTTTTTTAAATTTTATTTTGTTATGTTAATCACCATACATTACATCATTAGTTTTTGATGTAGTGTTCCATGATTCATTGTTTGCATATAACACCCAGTGCTCCATTCAAAACATGCCCTCTTTAATGCCCATCACCAGGCTAACCAATCAAGTCCAAAATTGTGTGACATTTATAAAATAAATGTGCATATTATAAACCTTAGGGTATAGTAGATTAGTGAACAGAGGTAAATTGGTAGTCTACTAATAAATTAAGCAAGAACAATAACAAAAATATACTAACAAAAATATACTCCCCTCTAGAACCCGCAGTTTGTTTCTCAGAGTCCATAGTCTCTCATGGTTCATCTCCCCCTCTGCTTCCCCCCCTTCATTTTTCCCTTCCTACTATCTTCTTTATTTTTTAACATATAATGTATGATTTGTTTCAGAGGTACAGATCTGTGATTCAACAGTACTACACAGTTCACAGCGCTCACCATAGCACATACCCTCCCCAGTGTCCCAGCCACCCCATCCCTCCCACCCCCCACCACTCCAGCAACACTCAGTTTGTTTCCTGAGATTAAGACTTCT